GCTTTCCCAGGCCATAGCAGAGATCTGAATTGGAAGTGGAGCATCTGGGTCTCCAACCGGTGGCCATATGTGATGCAAACATTGTGGGTGATGGCATTACCCACTATGCCACAGTGCCGGCCCCCAAAGTCAGTTTTATTCAGCAAGTCAAACTGAGGATTTAAACCTGGAGACAATCGTCAGTTGCCTGTTCTGGCTGTTCCACAGGGCTGTTTGGTTACAGGATGAGTACACACACTGAAACAGGTTTAAACAGTACAGAGTTAATGTGCGGTTATCAATCACCTTGGAAGTCAGAGAATGCTGCTTTAAAAATTGAAGAACATCAGGTAATAGTTAACAGACTTGATTATTGATTAAAAGAGGTGTGGCTGGCACCGCGGCTCATTAGGCTAATTCTCCCCCTGCGGCGGCGGTACCACAGGTGGTAGTCCCAGTTGGGGCGCCAGGTTCTGTCCCGGTTGCTCCTCTTCCAGTCTAGCTCTCTGCTGTGGCCTGGGAGGGCAGTGGAGGATGGCCCAAGTGCTTGGGCCCTGCACCTGCATGGGAGACCAAGAAGAAACACCTGACTCCTAGCTTTGGATCGGCGCAGGGTACCGGCCGTAGCAGCCATTTGGGGGGGGCGGTGAACCAACAGAAGGAAGATCTTTCTCTCTGTGTCTCTCTCACTGTTTAACTCTGCCTGACAAAAAAAAAAAAAAAAAAAAAAAAGGTGGTACCCTACATTCCCATGTCTGATGTTATCTATATTCAGGGAGAGGTAAACAGTGGGGCTATTAATTACTTTTCCTACAATGGCCCTAAGAACAAAAGTTCACTCCCTTCTAACCATGCATACATTTTTCTTTTTGAGGTTTCTTTGTTCGTGGTTGTGGGTCACTGAGGAGGTCATGTTGCATGGGAACATCATCACAACACAGGCAGCATCCAGGTGATACACTATGGTCCCTTACACTCTGTGGGAAACCTGGATTGAGTTTCTAGTTTCTAGTACTAACCTGGCCCAACTGTAGCTGTTACAGACATTTAGGGAGTGAGCCAGTGGATGAAAGTTGTCTGCCTGCCTTTCTTTGTTTTTGTTTTTTCTTTGTCTTTCTGACTTTCAAATAAATAAAAATAAAAAAAAATATAAGTTCTGGGGGCCAGTGCTGTGGCGTAGCAGGTAAAAGCCGCAGCCTGCAGGGCTGGCATCCAATATGGGTGCTAGTTCTAGTCCTGGCTGCTCCACTTCCCATCCAGCTCTCTGCTATAGCCTGGGAAAGCAGTAGAAGATGGCCCATGTCCTTGGGCCCCTGCACTCAAGTGGGAGACCTGGAAGAAGCTCCTGGCTCCTGGCTTTGGATTGGCCCAGCTCTGGTCATTGCAGCCAACTGGGAGTGAACCAGTGCATGGAAGACCTCTCTCCTCTTTCTCTCTCTCTCTCTGCCTCTCTGTAACTCTGCCTTTCAAATAAATAAATAAATAAATAAGAGAAAAATACACTATCTTTTATTGAACAAGTCCAAATGGAGCATTGGAAAGATGCCACCTCCCCAGGGGTTCCTCAAGGGACCACAGTAGCATGATCAGCACCAGTTGCCCCACTCTGGGGTACAGGGTCTCAAGGGTCTCACTCCTGAGAACTGTCACTGCAGTGCCCCTTTGCCTGGTGGAGCTGGTCCATACTCACCCTCATGGTGAGGAATTTGGAGGTCCTGTAGTTTGCAGAGATCGAAAGCTAAAGGGATTCTATAGGAATTTAATTCTAGGGGGTGCTGGAGCCCCCAGAGTGCAGAATGGGGCCTGGCCCCAGTGGGTGGATCCCCAGCTTCTCTGTCTGGGGGTAGTGGGAAGGTGTGGTGCCCAGAGCTGCGGCCTCCACGTGGATACCCTTTTCACTGGCCACAGGCCCTCGCTGTGCTCCTGCTGGACAGTCACCACGAAGCCCCCATGCTGACCTGGAGCTCTTATTGGAGCCATTGGACCACCAAAGAAACTTCCCCAGACTGCCCCTGAGAGGCATCTTATTCTGTGGCATTTCCATTTAAACTTTTTGATTAGCCTCTTTGTCCCAACTATTATTTACAACTGCAGGCAGTCTATTTTCTTTAGCTAATATTTCCCCAGAAAACGGTTGTTCTGTCTCAGTAAAGCTCTTAGTTTTGTGAGTTCTGGGAAACAACCAGACAAGTAAAATAACGACAATTTTCTATAAGTAGGACGTTGAAGGATCTGACACCCCATGGTCCTTCCAGTGATTTTCTGTCTGCTAGTTTTCACCATGATTGTGTGCTGTGGAGGCTCCCGTGGAGCTTGGGAGGTGGAAGGGGGCTATGACGAAATCATTCCATAGAACTGAGTGTTCTTACTGAGACCCAGTCATTATCCTTGAATGAACATTCTTCAGATTGCAGCATGCTTTTGATTAATTTCTAGAGTTCTATAATTGTTAATTATAATGATGTTTTCTGGCTTATGAACAAGATAATTTATGAACATGATAATTTTTGGAGGATTTAACTGTGCTGATGTCTTTGTGTAGTCTTCAGTCATATTGGATACTTTTGGAATTACAATATAAATACTTAAGTCTTCACAGACTTCATAGAATTAACAGTTTACTGCTTCATGTGGAATACAGAAACCTCACCACTATATACTCAGAGATACTTTTGTCATTATTATTTTATTTTGTAATTGTCATATGTATTATATATATCCCATCAATTTTGTACACTTTGGTTCCAAAAGTGTTATATATTTTAAAGGACTCAAAAGCAGAATAATATACTATTATTATTCTATGTATGCAGATAGCTATCAGTTATGTGGGTCTTTCTTTGGTCATGATATTTCAAATTTCTCTCTGGCTTCAGGTCTTCAGCTAGTGATAACTCTCCTAATTTTACTTCTATGAAAATATTTTCATTTCATCTTTATTCCTGTAGAATATTCTAACATGTATACAATTGCCCAGGTGAATGTTGATCCTTGAGGAGCAGAAATTAATGACTTTTGCTGCCAACATGGAATGAAGTTTAGGGAATATGTGGTCTAAGACCAAGATTTCTATGCAGGATCATGTGTTTTTGTTGGGCTCCAAGATCCTAAAGCTTGAGAAAAGGATGTAATTTTATGCTAAGAAGACCATCCACCTCTGAATGCGATGAAACCCACAGTGAAGATCCTTGTTTCTGATAAAGTCACATGATCAGGGACAGAGACACCTTCTCCGGATGTGGCTTAAAAAAAAGAAAACCCACATGGTGGCTCATGGTGTGAGAAGGGACGCCTTCTCATGGTTCTTGATGTACCACTATGTTAGAGGTGAATATGGAGGGGTAGATTAATATTGGAGAAAAAGAGAAGCTCACTTGCATTTGGCTGACATTTACCAACCCTGGTGCCCAGATACCTTGATGACAGAAAGCCTTATCTATGGGGCAGAAGTTCTGTACTCTTTATATTTTGTGTTTACCTATTAGCAACAAAGTACCCATTGGAACATCCTGCTATAACCCAGAGGTTACATGATGTTGTCCTTTCTTGGTTTGGTGTGAAGGAAAGAAACACCACAAATGAAATAGTAAACGTTTCTCCTTCATATTCCACTTCTATTTCAGTCCCAAGGGAACTATTCTTTGTAACTACAGTTTGATAACAGCTATACACATTTGAAAGTTGGCTGGAATGAGAAAATTGGGGTCTATATTTTGTGCATGAGATTGTGTATGAGATCATAAACATGCTGAGTTTTAATTCTTTCACCTCTTTGTTCTTTGAAGGAGAAAAGAAGGCAGAAGTGGATCAATATAAGAAGGGCAAGGAATTAGAAAGGACCTTGAGGAAAGAGGAAAGAAGACAATGTGTGATGGGTTGAGTGCTTATGCCCGCCCAATTCCTATGCTGAAACCTAACCCTCAAGGTGACTGTGTTAGGAGATGAGTCCTTTGGATTATGATTAGGTCCTGAAAGAAGAGCTGTCATAATCAGGATTAGTGCCCTTATAAAGGAGACTCCAGAGAGCTAGCTATATGTGAAGTATGTGAAGACACAGTAAGAACTCACTATCTTAGGGTCAGAAAGTGGACCTTCACTAGACATGGAATCTACTTTAACTTTGGACTTGCCAGCTTTCAATACTGCAAAAAATGGATCTGTTGTTTACAATCTTCTCAGTTTCTGCAAATTTATTATAGTAACCCAGATTGACTAAGCAAACATGGTAGGAACTGGAAATGAATTGAATATAGAGTTACAGTGATGACTGTAAAATACTCTTATGATGAGTATGAGTCAAGGCCAAGGGCAATTGATTCGAGTGGCAAAGACATAGTGGACCACTTTTAGAGTCAGCGAGTTTATTATTTTCAAGCAAATAAAAGTCAAAGTTGCCAGCTCCTTGGGTCTTTGTGCTATGCACCAGATAAAACTGAAGGAAAAAGGGACCAGAGAACTAAAACACTGTTTGGGATATCCCAGTTATATACTACAGCTCAATCTCCAAATTTCTTCAGCTATATCCTAAATGATGTGGGGGCAGAAAGCCTCATGGTCCATGAGAACCTGGGCAGCAATAAGGACAGCCTCCCAGGTGACATGAGGAAGAGAGGGATAAATAGCCCTTAGGTAGATACTAACAAGTTTCCCATCTTTATATTCCAGGAGGATCAAAAGCTACCCTTCCAAGGATCAAATTAGTTATGGTTCAAACTTTTGCTTGTGTGACCTATGTAGTTATGTGCAAAGTCTCCAGAACGCCATTTAGAGTAGTTCCTCAACATTGGCGGGACAATTGGAGACAGAGTGGACATTGGTGGAATTAGGCAATCTATAGAAGTGAAGACAGTAAAACAGAATGGAGAAGAAATACTAACAAAGGACAGACATGATAATATTTGAATTTAAGGTATATTATGGCTATCACTACTTCCTCTTAATCTCATCCTCTCCCACCTAGACACCACATGGTCACATTATGACCTACTGTAGTGGTGTGTATGGAGAAGGTAATGGTCTGAAAAACAAAAACTTCTCAAAATCATTAGAAACTTTATTTAGAAAGTACATTAAGCAGCTCTCTCAGTTTTCCCTGTTCTCTGCATCCTTCCCCAGCAACCTCCTGAGTGCCTTCTTTACCTCCTTGTTCCTCAGGGTGTATATGAGAGGGTTAAGAGAAGGAGTGCCCACTGCATAGAAGAGGCCAAAGAGCTTACCCCTCTCTTGGGCATAGGGATTTTTGGGCTGGAGGTAGACGGCAATGACTGAGCTGTAGAAGAGAGTGACAACCAGGAGATGGGAGGAGCAGGTTCTGAGTGCCTTTCTCCATGCTACAGCAGAGTTAATCCTCAGCACTGCCCAGGCAATGGCGCCGTAAGAGACAAAGATGAGGCTGAGAGGCACCACCACAAAGACAACACTAGACACAGATAACTGGATTTCATTGTAGGTAGTATCCCCACAGGAGAGTCGAATTAGGGAAGGGACTTCACATAAAAAATCATCTATCTGGTGATGGGAACAGAAGGGCAGGCGAAGGGTGGGTGGGGTCTGGACTATTGATTGGACTAGACCCATAACCCAGGCCACAGATGCCAGCTGCCGGCACAGGCGAGGGTGGACGATGGTGGCGTAGTGGAGGGGCTGGCAGACGGCCACATAGCGGTCAAAGGCCATCACTGCCAGCAGGATGCACTCAGTGGTCCCCAGGGACAGGAAGATGAAGAGCTGCACAGAGCAGCCCAGGAAGCTGATGGTTTTCTCCGGCCCCCAGAGGTTGACCAGCATCTGGGGGATGAAACTTGTGGTGAAGCAGAGGTCCAAGAAGGCGAGGTTGCGGAGGAAAAAGTACATTGGAGAGTGGAGCCTGGGGTCCAGCAGGGACAGCAGGATGATGAGTGTGTTGCCCCCCAGGGTCAGGAGGTAGGAAATCAAGACAACCACGAAGAGAATCTTTTCCAGTCCTGGGTGTTCAGAGAAACCCAGAAGGAGGAAGCCCACGGGGGAGCTTTGGTTGACCATGGTGCAGCATGCGGTCTTATAAAAACTTACCTTGGTTATCTTCAGGTTATACCAAAGCAGGTGTTTCTTTTTTTCCTCTGGCCACTCAGGCTCCTATTTTTAGTCACTTCACCATCCAGTAGCTCCTTCTTTTCTCCTATTCTTGCTGGTCCACTGTTTCATGGAAGTGAGCAAACCAGAGACGTGCAGACAATGGTTGGAGTCTCACCTTAGTACTTCTGACTTACTGGCTGGTTGCAAAAGATGGTAATGTAAGACATTAATTAATTAACTAATATTAATTAATTCAGCAAACATTTATTGAATACCTATCATGATCTGAGACTGTGCTATCGAATTTTCCCTTCATGTGTGGATGGAATTAAAAAGTAATATTATTGAGTGAATTTCCTGATCTCATACATTACTGTAGAATTCTTCTTATTTTCCAATGGTAAGCATGAAATTCCTAGAATAATTCAAATTTTATTTACTTTACAGCTTTACCAGAGACTTGACCAGAGAAACAAATGTGGACTGTAAAGGTGATTTCTCCTTTATGTGAAATCATTCAGTCTCCAGCAAGATCAATTGAGGCCGGCGCTGTGGCTCACTTGGCTAGTCCTCCGCCTGCGGCTCTGGCACCCCAGGTTCTAGTCCTGGTTGGGGCGTCCGATTCTGTCCTGGTTGCTCCTCTTCCAGTCCAGCTGTGGCCTGGGAAGGCAGTGGAGGATGGCCCAAGTGCTTGGGCCTTGAACCTGCATGGGAGACCAGGAGGAAGCACCTGGCTCCTCACTTCGGATTGGCGCAGCGCGCCGGCCGTAGCAGCCATTTGTGGGGTGAACCAACGGAAGGAAGACCTTTCTCTCTGTCTCTCTCTCTCTCTCTCTCTCTCTCTCTCATTGTCTAACTCTGCCTGTCAAAAAAAAAAAAAAAGTAAAAAAGATCAATTGAATGAACTAAGCACTTAAGAAGGTATGATGATTTATTCAACTAAAAGCAAATATTTTCTCTGAATATTATTAAGTCCTAACTTCAACTCTTCATTATGTGTGTTGTGGAATAATAATAAAAATACAGTATCAGTCATAAAATGATCAGTTTGGTTCTATAATACCAAAAGTTCTTACAAGGATTGAGGTTCAGAAATGGAAAATTCAAATAGACTGATTTCATTTCCCCCTTTTCATAGGAAATGAAAGTTAGTAGATAAAGTACACCATATTGAGTTTGGGATATTTAAATAGGGTTTTGTTTTCATATAATGTGTGGTTAATTTTCCTCATATGCTATTCAAAACTTTTTAATTTCAATTAAGTTCAAGTTTACAGAAAATTTGCAATAACAGTTCTAAGGACTCACAAAATTTTTATCAATTTTTGGTATTTTCACTCATTTGACTATCATTCTCTCTCAATATATTTGCATATTATCATTTTTACTCTGAGTCATGTGGGAGTAGGTCGTATACATTGTATCCTTTTACTCTAAAATTTCAGGATGTATTTGTTATAAGATGATCTCTTAATTACTGTATCATAATCAAATCAAGAAGCTTAAAATTGATATAGTACTTTTATCTAATAAGAACAGTCCTATTTTGTTAACTGTCCTAATAATATCTTCTGTAGGATTGTTTATTTGTTTTGTAGGATCCATTCTGGATTCACATATTGTGAAGTTAGCAATAGAAGGCTGCTTGGGAATGCCTGCATATTGGGGTGACCATATTTGAGCCCCATTTCTGCTTCTGATTCCAGCTCCTTGCTAATGTGCATCCTGGGAGGTAGCAGGTGTTGACCCAAATAGTTAGGTCCCTGCCATAGATGTGGTAGACCTGAGTTGAGTTTCTGGCTCCTGGTCAAGTTCCTTGGTGTTGCAGCCATTTGGCGAGAGAACCAGCAGACGGAAGATCTCTGTCTATCTGTCTATCTCTGTTTGTTTGCTATTCAAATGAAGTAAATAAATAAATAAAATATAAAAAATCATATTTTTTGTTAGTGCCTGACATTACTTTCTTTAGCAACCTATTCTGTGCCACTGTACTAAAGGGTTTGTTTTAAAACATTGGAGAACTAATCAGTACGTGCCAGTGAAGCTTATGGGCTAGATGGAGAGTGATTTCCCAGGAGAGTTTATTGGCCATCATCAGAAGACCCTAGGAACTGAAGGGCAAAGAATCAAAAATATCAGGCTGGCCAGAGACAAATTTGTAGAGAAAAGGAGCCGTGTGCTTGTATTAATCAGGAAATGTTTGCAGGAGTATGTGACTTTATTTTTGTGAAAGAAAGGAGAGTTGGGTCCCAAAACACTGACTTAGAAGTGGGTGCGAAGCAGCATCAGAAACCGAGTAAGTGGATGAAGTGCCTTGAGAGGCCACATATTGGCAGTAAGTATCTCCCCACTAGCACGATTTTGTGTGTGCATAAAAGCTGAATTTCATCTCTGTCTGTCCAGTCTACCTCTGTCTCTCCCCAGCCTTGCCTTCTTTCCATTGTTCTTTTCATTCTGAGGGAAAAGGACCTTTGCCTTTAATTTTTATAATATACATGATCCCTAACTTATGCTTTAACATGATTTTTTGACTATTATTGTGTAAACGTGATACGTATATAGAAAAGCTGCAGTTTCAATCTTAATCTTTTGCTGGGCTGGTGATGTGTGGCATGATACTCTCTCATGGCCCTGGGCAATGGTAGCCATCCCAAGGGCAGATGTCAGATACTCTTTAGTGTACAGTGTTGCCAGCAATTTTTGTGTATTGTGGTTTGTGTTTTGCCTTTCATAATGTCTACAAAATGCCCATTGGTGTGTGTACATATGATATTCAACATTTTATTATGAAATCGTGTTAGATGAGTCTGATGACTTACAGTCTCATGTAAGTTTTCAAAGCATGATTAAGGCAGGTCAGGCTACACAGTGATGTTCTGTGGGTTAGACATACTAAATGCATTTACAATCCTGCAATATTTTCAATTCAGGATGAGTTTATCAGGATTTACCACCATGGAAAGTTGAAGAGTATCCGTATTGTTAAATATTTGAACAGAAGGCAGTGTGTATCTTAAAAGCTTTCTGTGTCTTGATCAAATCCAGTTCCTGCCCCTGAAGAGCTTATTAATATTTGCTTATTAATATTACTTTTAGTAAATTGTTCACATGCTGTCCTTAATTTTTTTAAATATCTATTTATTTATTTGAGAGGTAGAGTTACAGAAGAGAGAGGAAGAGACAGAGAGGAGGGTCTTCCATCTGCTGATTCACTCCCCAAATGGCTACAACGGCTAGAGCTGGGCTGATCTGAAATCAGAAGCCAGGAGCTTCTTCTGGATCTCCGATGTAGGCAGCAGGGACACAAACGCTTGGGCCATCCTTCACTGCCTTACCAGGCTCATTAGCAGGGAGATGGATTGGAAGTAGAACAGCCAGGACTTGAACCCATGCCCATATAGGATGCTGGCGCCACTGGTGGAGGCCTAGCCTACTACGCCGCAGTGCTGGTTCCCCTATGTTGTCTTTTAACATTATATTCTCTGTGTTGGTAAAAGGAACCAAAAACCAAAAACCCAAACCCAAACCAAACCAAACCAAACCAAGACAAAACAAAACAAACAAACAAAAAAACTGGAGGTGGATGTTTGGCACAGAAGTTAAGGTTCTGCTTGGGAAGCCTTCATCGCATATCAGAGGACATGAATAGAAGTCACAGTTCCACTTTCAATTCCATTTTCCTGCTAATATGTACCCTGGGAGGCAGCAGGTGATGGCTCCATATGTGGGTCCCTGCCACCTACCTTGGAGACCCAGGATGAGTTTCCAGTTCCTGACTTGGGCCTGGCTCAGACCTGGCTGTTACAGACATTTAGGGGCGTCAACCAGTGGATGGAAAATCTGTCTGTCTCTTTCTCTGCCTTTCAAATAAAATGAAAATGAATTAAAAACAAATAGCTAACTGCTCCATATTCATCTACCAGCTGTCATTCCACTACTCTTTCTGCAGGCCTCACCTTCTCACTCTCCTGTTAACTTATTGTCCCACTGTTGTGAGATAACTATTGTTTCTTCCTTCAGTTTTCAGCATCCTCTGAGTCTCTGTTCTGTCACGTTCTGTTTCACAATCTCTTTTTTCTTCATTCTCTTTTGCTTGCTTTTTTAAATTTTTTTCTCAGGCACCAACAAACATCGGCTATTACTTTACTCACTTCCCACTATTTATTCCATGTTCATTTATTTATTTATTAACTGATCCCCAGGCCCTTGCTAAAAGGGAATCAGAGAGCAATTCTGTTTTCCCATCCAATAAAGATGAGCATATTATTACTTTCACGGCTGTCACCTGTTGAGTGCTTCCTGTACAGCAGACACTGTGATCGACACGTCCTTTTTACCTGGTTCTTACAACAGTCCTTCCACGTAGGTAGTATTATCCTCCCTTCATGGAAGAAGAAACAGTCTCCATAAAGGTTAAATAACCTGCCCAAATTTACACAGCTAAAAAAGGGTAAGGCCTGGATTCCAAGCCTTTTAATTCCAATGATGATGCTCTTGGTGGTTCCACTATGGAAGACACGTGAAAACTGAATGGTTGTAAGAGGATAAAAAAATGTACAACTTACCTGCACTTAAGTCAGAGTCTCCTTATGACTTTGCTGCTATAACTTTCCCATGACAAAGAGTTTCTGGACTGGTTTGAGCCTCCACTTGTCCCTCAAGATGAGAATTAAAAGCAAAATATAGAGGAACTGAACTCCTTGGAAAGGATTGGAAGTTAGGGTTCAGGTAATAGTTGATTGTTAATGCTACTGCCTTACTTTTCAATGCATATGATTTGGGTATTATTAGTATTCTCCAGTTTTGTTTTTAGATAAAGAAACTAAAACACAAACAGATTTAATGATTTTCTCATAGCAATGTAGCTAGAGCTAAGACTTGAGTGCAGGTAGGCTGTAGCATCATGCACTAAGCATATTACACTGCCATCATTCTGCTTTTATGTATGAGGACACAGGCTGCTCTTGGTCTCATCCCAGCAAGCCAACTCCTTTTCTAGTGGCACTGCAAGTGGAAAGGAGGCATAGTGAAGTGATGCAGGAAGGAATCCCAGGACTCCAGTGCCGTGGAGAGAAACAGCTCATTAATTACGACAAGACTCTGGAGCCTCATAGCCCACAGATAATTAGTCACTGGCACTAATGGTGGTTAAGAAAGGGGAGAGGATTCAGAGGAAACGTGCCAGCAACAGTGCTCCCTGTAGTAAGGAAGAAGGTCACCACCCTCTGCTCATCGTGTCATGGGGAGTACAAAGGCTTTGTCATCATTACTTCTGTCACATGTCCCGCGTTCTTCTTTCAATTCAACAGTCTATTATCTCCTTGTTAAAACTGAATATAACTTGTACACAATAAAGTCCAAATATCTAAATGACCCTAATCAAGATAGAAAATATTTCCATCACCTTAAAACCTCTCCTTTCTACTTTTCTCACTACCCTCCCCTGTCACCTTTGTCCAGGGACAAAAACTATCATGATTTCCTTTTTTTAAGATTTTATTTATTTATCTGAGAAGTATAATTACAGACAGAGAGAAAGTTCTCCTATCACTGGTTCACTCCCCCAAAAGCTGCAACAGTTGCAGCTGGACCCATCTGAAGCCAAGAGCCAGGAGCATCTTCTGGGTCTCTCATGAAGGTGCAGGGGTCCTAGCACTAGGCCATTCTCTGCTACTCTACCAGCTGAATTGGAAGAGGAACAGCTGGGACACAAGCCAGTGCCACAGGTGGAGGCTTAGCCTACTACATCACAGCGCTGCCCTGTTATGATTTCTTACCATCATAGTTTTGTTTTTCCTCTTTCAGGGCTTCACACAACTGGAACAATACAATATGTACTCCTTTGGGTCAGGATTCTTTCATGCAGCATAATTCTTTTGCTATGTATTCACATATCAGTAACTCTTTTTTGTTTCAAAAATCTACTAATTGAAGAACAATTTACATGGAATTAAGTGAACACATGTTAAGTGTACAGTTCAATAAGTTCTGACAAGTGTATATATCTGGTAGCCACCACCCCATTCAAGACATAGAGCATTTACTTCTATCATACAAGGTTAGTTTTTCCTGTTGTAAGAACTTTGTGTGAATGGAATTAGTGCATATTCTTTGCTCCTGGGTCCTTTTGCTCAGTTTGTTACTGAGATTCATTCAGGATGTTTCCAAATACCAGTATAGTAGTTTGTTGCTTTGAATGGCTCCTATTTCATTGCATGAATATACCATAGTTTAATTCATTCACTTGTTGATAAATGTTAAGGTTCTTTCCAATTTTTGGCTGCTTTGAACAATTGTATACAGTTCTCTGTATGGATACATGTCTTCATATCTTGAGTAAATTTCTGGGAACATAATTTCTGGCTTATAGGATGAGTGTTTGTAGGAAATGCACAAACTGTTTTCCAATGTGATTATGTTATTTACAATCTTACACACAATGAATGAGAGTCTCAGACACTCCACATTATTGATAATTCTCAGTAATCTATCTCTTGCCTTTGGAAGTCCTGTTGAGCATAAAGAACTCTTCATAACAGTTTTGATTTGCTCTGAGTTGATTAATGATGTTAAGCATATTAGTATATGCTTATTTTGGTCCTCACATGTTTTTTATTTATGTTTTATTTATATTTTGGTCTTAACATGTTTTTTATTTATATTTTTATTTTTTCCCATTTGTATTATACTATTTGACTTATTAAAAGTTGTAATTATAACATATAATATGCTAAATACCTTTGGAGATTGTGAAAATTATCTGTTCTTTATCTGTTCCTCATTATACTTTTTAAAAATTTCATTTAGTTTTATTTGAAAAGCAGACAGACAGACAGACAGACACACACACACACACACACACACATGGTCAGATGGACAGAGATCTTTCATCTGCTAATTCTCTCCCCATTTACCCATAATAGCCAGGGGTACTGAGTCAGGTTGAAACCAAGAGCCTGGAGCTCAGTTCAAGTCTCCCACATGGGTGGCAGGGACCCAAATACTGGAGCCATTACCACTGTTTCCAAGGGTTCATGTTAGCAGGAAGTTGGAGTTGAGAGCAGAGCCAGAATTTCAATCCAGGCACTCTGCTATGGCATATGGTGTCCCAGCCGCCATCTAACTCCTGGGCCAAATGCCTGGCCCTGAAACAATTATTATTTGCCTGTTTTATGAATGATGACTTTCATCTTTGCTTCTATATTTATAATTTTTAATTATATAAATAAGAACTTTTCCTTTTCTCTGTTTGTTGTTTATTTATGTAAGTAATAACTCCTGGATTTTTAAAATTCTCTTGCCATTATTCTCACTATTTATTTTAATGTTTAAATTTTCCTAGATTCAGCTATTGGGAACCCATTGAATTTTTGATAAATCTCCATCATTTTTCGCACTACACAATGCTCCATTTTTATCTTGTATCTTCCCTTTCCTGTCTCTGGGGTCACTCACAGTCTCCAAGGACTCTTGGTTGTTTTTATTGGAAGATGGGGTTTAGAAAACAAGATCTGGGTGCTAGGTGTTCCGATTGCTATTGGGATGTCTTTGTTTCAAAATAAGGCCCTCTCATCTAGATTATATACACATACACACACATACACACATATAGTTGTATAAATACACGAATATATATATATATATTATTTTCTATACTTACCTTCTGCTGGACTTCAAGATCTCAAGCCTTGGAAAAGTTCCCATCTTACGTCATTGACAAGGAGTAGACCATTAAATTCACTCTGAATGTGGTGATGTTCTCCATGTGGAGTCTGTTTCTGATGGAGCCTTCAGGTGTGGCTTACTAGAAGAAATATGTAGACTAGGGCATCAGAAAGAGTAATTCTCTGTTCTTGACATACCACTACATCGGGGGTGACTGCCCAAGAGTAGCTTTTGGCTCTTGTTTAGCAACCTGTATGCCCAGATATTTTTATAGTGGAAATTCTTTTTTTTAAACTTTTACTTAATAAATATAAATTTCCAAAGTACAACTTTTGGATTATAGAGGCTTTTCACCCCATAACCTCCCTCCCACCTGCAACCATCCCATCTCCCACTCCCTCTTCCATCCCATTCTTCATCATGATTCATTTTCAGTTATATTTATATACAGAAGATCAACTTAGTATATACTAGGTAAAGATTTCAACAGACTGCACCCACACAGACTCACAAAGTATAAAGTACTGTTTGGGTAGTAGTTTTACTGTTAATTCACATAGTACAACACATTAAGGACAGAGGTCCTAGATCAGGAGCAGGAGCACAGTCACTCCCATTGTTGATTTAACAATAGACTCTCATTTATGACGTCAGTAATCACCCGAGGCTCTTGTCATGAGCTGCCAAGGCTATGGAAGCCTCTTGGGTTCACCAACTCTGATCTTCTTTAGACAAGGCCATATTCAAAGTGGAAGTTCTCTCCTCCCTTTAGAGAAAGGTAGATAGTGGAAATTCTTAATCCAGGAGAATGGAGTTCCATATGGTCAGTGTTGTGCATTTACTTGATGGAACAAAGTCCCCATTGCCACAAATTTTTACAAACCAGAGATTGTATGATGTTTTCCTATTCTTTCTTGGCTTCTTGGTGTGAAGGAAGGAAATATTGCAAACAAATTAGTGTTTCCCCTTAATTTTTAACTTCTATTTCAATCTCAAGGGAACTATTATTTGTTTTTTTTTTTAAAGATTTATTTATTTATTTGAAAGTCAGAGTTACACAGAGAGAGGAGATGTAGAGAGAGAGAGAGAGGTCTTCCATCCGATGGTTTACTCCCCAGTTGGCTGCAACAGCCTGAGCTGTGCTGATCAGAAGCCAAGAGCCAGAAGCTTCTTCCGGGTCTCCCACGTGGGTGCAGGGGCCCAAGGACTTGGGCCATCTTCTACTGCTTTCCCAGGCCATAGCAGAGAGCTGGATTGGAAGTGGAGCAGTCGAGTCTCGAACCGGGGCCCATATGGGATGCCGGCGCTTCAGGCCAGGGCATTAACCCACTATGCCACAGCACCGACCCCCTATTATTTGTTATTACAGTGTGGCAACAACCACAAATATTTGAAAGGTTGCCATAATGAAAATCCTAGGGTCTGTGTTTTGGTTGTAATAATTCACTGTGTGTGTTTGTATGAGATTATGAACTTGCTGAGTTTCAGGTTTTCCTCCATTTTGTCTATTCTTTGGAAGAGAAAAGAAGAAAGAGAAAGAAGGCAAAAGATGACCAAGATGGCAAGTGGCAAAACGACAGAAAAGACCCTGAGGAGGAAGGAAAACAGCCACGTGCAATGGACAGAATGCTGTGTACCTATCCTGCCACATTCACATGTGGAAGTAATAACCGGAATGTAACTGCATTAGGAGATAAAGGCCTTTGGGCAGTGATTAGGGCATTAGGTGTTAGTGACCACAAATAAGAGACACAAGTGAGCTAGCCAAGCCCATTCACCATGTGTAGACACAAGAAGTCACCATTTGAGTCACAAAGTAAGCACTTCTTTGCCACAGAAATTGCTTTGGTCATGGACTTCTGAGTCTCCAAAACTGTGAGAAATAAATCTGCTATTCATAAAATGCCCAATTTATGTCTTTTTGTTACAAAAGCCTGAATTGACTAAAACAACATGGTAGGAACTGGAAATGAAAGTAGAGATGACCGTCAAGCACACTCAATGCAAGAAAGGCAGGAGATGCTCAGGGTGGAGTGGAGGTAGGCGTAGCCTCTCTGCCTCCTTGTCCCCTAGCACCCCTGGGACATTGCACAGGCCACCTGCACTGTGAAGATCTGGACCTTAGAGCACGTCTTGGACCACCCATGGAAACTGTTAAAACAGCGGCAATGCAGAAGTGCTCCAAACCACAAGCTTGAGTGTGATTAGAGGTGATGTGCTGGGCAGATACACAAACCCCTCTGAAAGTTGTACAGCCACAGATTTCTCCATGTGGAGGGAGAAATGCCTTCTGTTGTGAAGTCTCTGAGTGGGGCAGCAAAAACCCAAACACATGGGCAAGAGGATTCTATAGTTGATCCTGTAGAGAAAATAATGGAACTCAAATCTACTAGTGCTTCATCTACAATTATGGTTGCAGTAGATGAGAGACATACACAAGCCAAGTCCTCAGGATTCAGAAAAAGATATTTTAACTCAAGAAGCCACAACCACAGTGAAAGGAGTTAGCCTCAGTGGTTGCCTCGAAGGGCTGATGACAAGGACGACATCTTCAAATGCAAAAAGGCTGAGAAGCAAAGGAGTGAGTAATACATTAACTAAATGCCGAGACTGAACTATTGGTGATACTACAACAAGAGGAAGCATAAGGGCATGGTTGGCGGTAGCAGTGTTTGTTGAGAAATGATACTGCCAGTCAGCATTTATCAACAGGCCCCCAGTTCTCTCTGGACTGCACATGTATTTATTTATTTTTTAAATTTCAATTTCAGAATAGTTTTAAATTTACAAGACAAAAATTATAGGGTTGTGCAAAGAGTTCCCATATACCTCACACTCAGATTCCCCTATTATTAGCATCTTCTGTCTATTTTTATTTAAAAATACAATTATATTTTAGACAGATTGTTTTCAATATGCTGGAGTATGGCTATGTGACTTTTGATCAAAATAAAAAACGCAGGGCTTCTAAATAAAATCAATCACCTGAAATTAGTGCTGTATGACTGTCTCATATAGAGGGTTCCAATATTAATTCAAAATATAACAATTGTATTTGGAATTTGGTATTAATGTTGAATCTCCTTAAGGTAGAATTTACAGCTTTTCCCACCCTGGGACTCTACCTGGTTTTGGGCCAGTCTTGGAATAACACAGAGTCACAGATTGTGCGACTGCCATAAACTGCAATGGCTTGCATGAGGGAACTCAGTTTAAAAGGAGAAACTATATGATTTTAACAGACATTAACTTTCAGAAATAACCTGCTCTGCTAAAACCACAGTATTTTGCTTTAGTATTTAAATGTTATTTTGGAATTCACATTAGCACTAAAGTAATATATGACAAAAATATGATTTTTATTGTATCAAAGGACACTGTATTGTTTTACTAAAGTTTTGTAACTTAGCAAAATGATTGCCTTCCTCAGATTTGTATTTCCTTAGTATTCTGTACATTGGGCTGGTTATGTAAACTCAAAAAATAAAGTCATTATTTGAGTTTTTCAGCTCCCTAAACTTAAGCAGAATATCTATTAATGTCTTTTAGCATTTCTCACTTGCCTTATAAATTGTCATGTATTAAAAATCATAGTTTTGTAATTGTTAAGGCATGATATGTCAGGTTATTTGAATACAATTAATTTTTGAAGTAATTGTGACCACAAAAACAATTTTACATGAAAATTGCCCATCATTTGAAATTAATCAAATGATGTCTTGATCTGATGAAATCTTTACTTAATATATACTAAATTGATCTTCTGTATATAAAGATAATTGAAAATGAATCTTGATGTGAATGGAATGGGAGAGGGAGCGGGAAATGGGGGGGTTGGGTGTGAGGGAATTTATGGGGGGAAAAAGCCATTGTAATCCATAAACTGTACTTTGGAAATTTATATTTACTAAATAAAAGTTAAAAAATTGCCCATCATTTGAAATTAATCAAATGACATCTTGATCTGAAGTACAAATTGTTAATGTGTTAATAATATGGTGCCACTGTAGAGGAAGGTGGGGGCACTGGTGAGACAAAAGAGAATAATGGTATAAAGAGGAGAAAGATTGGTCTAAGCCACCTACTAAATGAATTGCAATATTGCTTTTATTCATGGGAGATCTATATTTTGGATGCCAGACGTCTGCAAAATGAAAAGCCATCTAGCAAATATATTTTTTCATATCTTGTAGCAGGAAATGACTGATGACTAAATAATGCTCTTAATAATGCTCTTGCCCTTGGAGTTGCATGCAGAGCATTTTTTTGTGAACAGGTGTCTTACCTTTGTTTTACCTTGCTTAATGCAACAAACTTCTAATCAGATTTCCTTTAAAAGAGACCAGTTAATACATATACATAAACCACAGAACTAGAATATCAATGTAATTAAAATTTAGTGGTTTTTAGCTTAAAATATTTAGTTTAAGACTTTGTAAGACATTTTAAAGACAATTTAAATCTGAGGCCTCTGATTATCTTTTTTTTGTAACCAGAGATGATTTTTATAACTGAAATAAAATTTCATCAAAAGAAAATACTGCTAAATATTGATACCTGATAAAAAGTTGCCTTGTATAATTTCTGAAAATTATACTTTTTTCTGAAAAGGATCTAATGCTCTAATGATAAAAGATTCCTGAACAAAACAAAGCAAGTAACACCAAGACTTGATTATGTGGCTGGTAAATGGGTTACTTTTAGACTTAGAGAGAGTATTATTTATATACAGTTGAAAAGTAGGAAAAAGCCAAAAGTACCAGCTCCCTGTGTATTTGTGCCACATACACCCAAGGATGACACTGAAGTAAACAGACAGGAAGACAGCAAAAGGCATCCTTCCATGCCTCAGATTTTCTGTGCAAGTTCTCCAGCATGCCATGATGAACAGCGCTTCTATACTTTCATAGCAGTTGAGGAGAGATTGTGTAGTCGTAGATGGGCATAGAGGAACTGAGGAATCTATGCAAGTGAAGACCGTGAAACAGCATCAGCAGGGAGCAAGTCAGAAGCCAGAGCTGGAAATCAAGCCCAGATTCTCTGGTGTGGGACACGGACATCTTAACCATGAGGCCACCCCCAGCCCACCCCACCCCCACCCACCCCACATTTCATGGAGTGCATTTTGAGTGGTCTCAGGTGTTGCTGTTGGGCAGCTAGTTGAGGTCCACTGGCTTAGACTAGGAAGGAAATATTGAGTTTACAGGTATGCCGGTGTTTGAATTTAAAGTGTTTTATGGAGACAACTACCTCCCCTGGACTCACTCCCTGTCTGATTCCATGTAGCCACATCATGACCCACTGCAGGGACTCACGTGTGAGTGTGTAGGGAAGGGAATGGCCCACAGAACTCAATATTTTATTTATTTATTTATTTTTTACAAATAGTGCAGAAACACTCCTTCATTTAGAAAGTAGCTCTCCTTCAGTTTCCCCTGAGCTGCCCACTCTTCCCTAGCCATCTCCTGAGTGCCCTCCTTACCTCCTTGTTCCTCAGGGTGTATATGAGAGGGTTAAGTGAAGGAGTGCCTACTGCATAGAAGAGGCCAAAGAACTTGCCCCTCTCTTGGGCATAGGGACTTTTGGGCTGGAGGTAGATGGCAATGACTGAGCTGTAGAAGAGAGTGACAACCAGGAGATGGGAGGAGCAGGTTCCAAAGGCTTTCCTCCGCCCATTTGCAGAGTTAATCCTCAGCACTGCCCTGGCGATGGCGCCGTAAGAGACAAGGATGAGGCTGAGGGGCACCACCAGGATGAGGACACTGGCCACTGCCATCTGAATCTCATTGTAGGTGGTGTCCCCACAGGAGAGTCGAATCAGAGCGGGGACCTCACACACAAAGTCGTCCACCTGCCGGTGGGGGCAGAAGGGCAGGAGGAGGGTGGTTGGGGTCTGGACCACTGACTCCAC